GCTTGGGAAGGTGGAGCGGCGAGGCGCGCGGCGAAAATCCGCTTAAGCGCTATTCTTGGCACGGTCTTCACTCCTTTAACACTCAGGCAGAAGGGCCTCTTACGAGACCTTTATCCAAATGCTTGATCGGGATGTGTATCAATCCAGCAGCGCAAGGCAAATGACACATTCACCTAAACCCGCTAGGTGTCTAGGAAGGGGATGGGAGAAGACAAGGGGGAACTACTGGAAGATAAAGTGCAGAATAATTTGCAGGATGGGGAAGAGCAAAAAAGAAGGAGGTGTGTAAAAACGGGGGGGGGGGGGGGGGGAGGGAAAGAAAAGGTAGCCCCTGGAGAGGCAAGCCTCGTCCCCTCACGAGTGGCCCAATACTTCCGTCTCCTGCCTAGGCATTAAAAGGAACGACGTACATCGCACACGCCGCTCCGAGTGGATATCCTTGGCGCCGCTTCTTCGCTGTCGCTGCGGTGGCACCTGGAGATGGTCAGTCCCAGCCGCGCTCCTGCATCTTCCGTGCAATGGGCTTTGCGGGGTTCGCGTCAGAAGCAACCCGCCCGCAGGAGAGCAAAAGGTCCCAGCTTTCCAGCACAGCTGTATCCAGGGAACTCTCGGTAGCCAGCCACGAGTTTTCTTGCTAGAGTTCCTTCCACCATTCAGAAGGGTTTCTTTTTAACCCTCCTCTGCACGACCTTTCCACAAAAGAATTAGGAGTAGGAGGGAGTAGGAAATTCTAACAAGGTTAATTTATTGTCCAACAGCGCAACCTAGTGCTATTATTTGTTATTGCCACTCATTTGTTTTATGCATTGAATTAGGGAATCACTGTAATATGTATGCAATTTTCACACAGCGCAGTATATAATTAGTATATTTTTCTTATTTGGCTGTTGTGGAAACCACTCAAGAAGTGCTTTTAGATTGGGTTGTTCTTGACACAATAGTGACTAAGTGACATTGCCAGAAACGTATACACTTATATTGATAAAAATGAGATCATGGTGCAGTTGTACAGGGAACATTAATCTTCAGAATTATGTGTATTTTTTTTTATTCTTTATTTTCAGTTTCAGGTTACATGCTATATGTGGGGTGGGTTATATTTTTCAATAAATTAAGAAGCTTTCATATATGGTTTGTTCACATAAGTATTATTTTTTATGATTGCCATTGGGTTTCTATGGATATACACAATTCTACCTGGTGTAGGCTTTCACAGCCAGTATCTGTGAAAGCCTGCACCAGGTAGAATTGTGTATATCCATAGAATATACACAGCCAGTATCTGTTGTTGGGCAGTGTCAGGCTTCAGAATTTAGTGATGGTGGTCTAGGCAACAGATTTCCTGACGTTTTGCCGACAACTGGCATCTTCAGAGGTAAGGCGGTCTGGTACACAGATGTCAGGCAATTAAGCAGAGACTGACTGGGTTCCTGTAAGTCAGGAGCCACACCTAGTTATACAGACAGGAGCCCAGCCAGTCCCTGCTCAGTTGCCTGTGGTTTGCAAAGCAGACCACCTTGCCTCTGAAGATGCCAGACTCAGTTGCTGGCAAAATGTCAGGAAATCTGTTGTCTAGACCACCGTCACTAAATCCTGAAGCCCAACACTGTCCAAATTCTACCTGGCTTTGCATATTTAGGGCAGATCCACACCTTCTGTTTGACCTATTGCAATATGGGCCACTCACCACTTCCTGGTCTGAAGTCATCCTTGTCCCACTCCCAGCCCATTGCAAAAAGTCCTTACACCTGTGTTTTCCAGCTTTGATTTATAGCAGCTGTTTTCCAACCAGAACCGTTCAAAGCAGGTGGTCTCCAGTGCTTGGTTCCATTCTAGCAGCAGCTCCCCCTCTAATTGCCTGCAGTTCCTGGTGTGCCCCCCCCCACTTCAGCAACTAGTCACTGCCC